AACGTACAAAAAGTATCCACTGTAAAAGTAGTTGAAAATTCTACTTAATTATAGGCGAGTTTCACCTGACATCATTGTTATTAAAAGCCCGCGTTGCATGCTGGGAAATATTTTGTTCGGAGGCAAGAAACATGATATCGGTCAAACACAGTGCGTAACCTCACGTATTTCTCCCCGATAATAGTAAATTCCTGCTGTATTATCGGATGCACAAATAGAAGCACAGAAGAAGGAAAATGTCTTTTTCGTATTCTGAGTGAAAAGAACCACTAACGGTGAATTAAACGACTTTCAAACATTCACAGAGCAAACGTAGAAGATCCTAACAAACCGTGGACTCCAACAAGTTCAACAACACATCGAGACTCTTGGAGGTTTTCATCTTTTCTGCTGTGAATGGCCCAGGAGTTTCCACCAAGTCATTGTGGATATCACCCAAGTGAATATTTGTCCAGGTAGTTGGCGATTCTGACCAGAAATTTGGTTTGGTCCACCTTTTGTCGGGGTTGAAAAGGGTGATTTGGCTCCATCGATGCTTATGACCAATTTGTGGTCAAATGGTCTTGGGTCCTCTGCCGTTAGAGTGGATAAATAACCGGGATCAATACCCTTTACGTGCTTTCTCACTCCGTCCGTCATGTTGAATTCATGTTTATTGCCGCCGACCAAAATAATTCCCAGCATGCAACGCACGCTTTTGTCAACAATGAAACTCGCCTATTGTACTTTTACTTTTGTACTTTGTTACCTTCCAACACAGTGTAGCTTTATGCTTGAGTAATATTGTCCCACACAAAGATATAAGCTGCGTCTGAGTGAGTGGAGTTTGTCTTAGTGGAGGTCTGCTGGAGGCTCAGATTAGGCCTGAGATGTGCAGTGTTTATAACGACTGGAGCGGTTGAAGAAGGCAGCGGCGTTGTCAGTGGAACAGTCCTGGTCCATGTAGGGTCGGCTCCTCCAGCGCGGGGCACATGTCGGAAATGAAAGAAAGCAGACGTGCAAATTGAGAGCCACAATAAAGATAAGGATCTGGTGGTGTATCGGCGCATGGATCAGAGCCTCTGCAGACACACATGTGCTGTCGCAATGGAAACCCTAATAAACACTGTGCTGTGTTATGGCTGAAAACACAGGCAGAGTAAAGAAGAAGCAATCATCGATAAAGAGAAAGTCAACAAGGCCAAGCAGCTGCTGTACACGAGCACACTCCATTACAGTTATTCAAGTTTGTTTTTTCTGATTAGGCGACGAAGAGATTTGAAATACATTATGGAAGAAATAAAGACAGACGTATGGGACTGAGAGCTGAAAAGACCATGGATCATTCAATCGTTTTTCAAACTAAAACTAAAAAGAAGAAAACAAAAAAACATTTTTCTTTATTGTTTGTCTCCAAAACCAAAATGAAAAAAATGAATAATGATTTGTTTTTTGTTTTTTTTCAGTTTTTGATTTTGTGTTTAAATGAATAATGGAAAAAACAGATCACGGCCGTTTCCTGTTTCATCCAATTTTGACCCTTACGGACTGAACCAGGACTAAACTAGGACTAAACCAGGTCTAAACCAGGTCTAAATCAGGACTAAACCAGGACTAAACCAGGTCTAAACCAGGACTAAACCAGGACTGAACCAGGACTAAACCAGGACTGAACCAAGACTGAACCAGGACTGAACCAGGACTAAACCAGGACTAAACCAAGACTGAACCTGTCTCAGTCCTGGTCTGGTCCTGGTCACAGTCTTGGTCTGATCCCCGTCTCAGTCCTGATCACCTGACAGTCTACGTGGGTGCACCTCTGGGCTCGTCTCAACACTCAGTCCTGGTTCAGTCCTGGTTCAGTCCTGGTTTAGTCCTGGTTTAGTCCTGGTTTAGTATGTATGAAGCGCAAAAGTCTGGCATCACAGTTTAAGTCACAGAAACAGGACTTGGCTGTTGCCCTTTTTTTTTTTTTTTTCATTTTGGTTTAAAGACAAATAATGAAAAAAGTAGTTGTTATTTTGTTTTCTTATTTTTGGTTTTATTTTGAAAAAACAAATTAACAAATTATTAATTAATTAATGAATTAAGCATTACATTTATATAGTGCATTTCAATACACCCAAAGCACTTTACAGTTCATTATTCATTCATTAATCACTCAGTGGTGGTAAAATACTATTGTAGCCACAGCTGCCTTGGGGCTGACTGATGGAAGCGAGGCTGCCAATCTGCACCATTGGCCCCTCTGACCACCACCATCACTCACACACACACTACTTTCATACTAGGCAATGTGGGTGAAGTGTCTTGCCTAAGGACACAATGAGAGTTTTTGCCACTGGCGCCTCACTGTGGCACCTGATTTTCCCAGTGTCTCTCATCCAAATACTGACCAGGCCCGGTCCTGCTGAGCTTCTGAGATCTGACGGGATCAGACTTTGACAAGCCGCTGTGGCCACTACATATGATATGATCCACGGATTGTGAAAGTGCTGCTGCTTTTGTTATTGGACTTTTTGGCATGTGTTTTGGAGCTTGCACAGTCCACATAGAGACAGAGATTACAGTCATGAAATTCCATCCGTTTTTATTATTCTTTCTTAGTCTTGATTAGGCAATTTCTTTTTGCAGCCCTGGATCCTCAAGCAGCGTGTTTGCTTCACTTAGAGTTATGATGTTAAAAGAATATTTTTGCTCTTGTTTCTCAGATATACAGATAAACAGTACAGTGTAACAGTACAAACACTTTCCTACTTCCTTAAAAGTTGTGGTTATAACTGTGACTAAAAATGGTTCTTCACAGTTTTTCTACCTCACTTTGCATTCACACACTTATACACTAGTGTACACAGACACAAGGCGGGCTAAGTGTCTTGCCCAAGGGCACAATGACACATACTAGGGCTGTAACTATAACCGAAATATCGTGATATCGTATCGTCAAAGTTCTCACAGTAATATCGTGGACCATCACAATATATCGAATCACACGTCTCTTTGTTTAAAGGATGAAATGTAGGGATTTGGTTGATTTTAAGTGATTCAGTTGATTTCTTCATTTTTCTAGCTGATTTGCTCAGAGTTGGGACATTAAAACTCAAATTAAATGTGTTAAAAATACATCTCAGACATTTCAGCAGGTCTCAAACTTTCTTCGTTTCAGTCCAGATCAAAAATGTAGTGGAGTAAAAAGTACAAATACAGATACCTGCTCTTAAATGTACTAAAAGGAAAATGCATTCACTGTAAAATGTACTACCGTAAAGTACAGATGACTAAAATGTGTACTTCATTTACCTTCCACCACTGCCGATCAAGAAGCAATTTGTGAAGAAAAGTTGAAAAATCTGTTGAGAATTACAAGAACATCACACTGGGAGAATTCTTTCCAAATATTTGACACAATTTACACAAAATAAACTAATTTTTCTGATACTTTAAATGAAGAGTTGTGGTGCAGCAACAGCTAAAAAAAAGATACAGGGAACTACCTAGACCATGATCCTTTGCTCCATTCCATTTCACTGCAGACTACAAGAAGAAATAACAGTTCTAAACACTTAAGTTTTTGGATTAAGTCTTGTTGAGGCATTTTAAGAGAAAAAAAGTAGCACATTAACAGTTTTAGCCTCCACAAAATATCACAATAAATATCGTAGTGTGAGGTTCATACCGTGATGATATCGTATCGTGAGACTTGGATATCGTTACCCTCCTAACAGATACTCTTACTTGAGCAGTACATTCTCTTTTTTAAAACTTCTAATAGAGTAATATTTGAGTCCTGTATTTGTTTAAATAACAGTATTTGTATTTTGTTTCGTCACACCTGTATCAGAAGAATAAACAGATAATCTCGTGGTGTTGTCGTGAGCGTTTAATCACATGATCCTGTACTTTATTAGTTTAGTTTGATTTGAGGCTTAGGTGCTCTGAATTTCAAAATCAAGAATAAGAAAAGAGGAGGAGAGGAATATTATGTTGATGTAGCACAGGTCACTGCAGACGAGTAAAAGAAAAGGGTTTTTCCAGAGTCAGCGTGTCGTCACAGGTTTAGATCACACATTTTTGATCAATATTTGTCATTTAAATTCAAATCTGGTGAAGTGCACAGGTTAGCCTGAGGGGGCGGCGATCATTTTTACCTGAGGCCCCTGCTGGAGCGCAGGCATGTGGAGGAGGGCCCCGCACACATGTTAATAAGCTCATTTATGCTGCAATAATTACAGGCCCTTAAGGCGATCTTATCAGACTGCACAAGACTGTCAACAACAAGCACGAATAAAAGAGGAGAGGAAAGAGGAGAGGATGAGCCTGTGGGCTCGTGTCACTCCAGTCACTCCAGAGTGTTAAATGTGAGCTTCAAGTCACCAAATAAAGAGTTCACATGTTCATGTAGACGACGTGCTTGGACAGATTAGTCTGTGTTCAGTCCTGAGCTGTCGGGGCAGTGCTGATGTGGAGCTGCTCAGGGGCAGGACTGCACTGCAAAAAATACCACACTCCCAGAGTTAAAATGTTACACTCTGTAGTCTTTTGTCCTTTTGTCCATTTGACAGAATTGAATTTCTTAGTTTGCTGTACACTGTATAATGTTTCACTCAAGAAGAAACAGAAAGTTTGTGTACAATTCTATAAACAATATTATTGTCATTTTATTATTTCTTTCCTCCTACATCTGATAGTCATTAAATATGTCAATATTCTATTTTTTATTTTTATTCACCTTAAAGTGCATTTGTGAGGAAATCAACATTTGATGAGTCTTAAAATCTTCTCTTTACAGAGGCCACAGAACATTATTCACTTTGACTTTATGATGAGCAGGACGTGTTTTGTGGATGTTAATGTCATATCCAGGTTAAATCGTAAATGTCTTATGAAAGTGCGCGTGTTTTGGTGTGAACAGAGGGTCTGGGCAGAGCTCTTTCTCTCTCCTCTCTTCATGAGCTCTTGGTGGGAGTGAATTTTGCAGTGCGTCGCTTGACGCAGGGGCGCGTGAAACCTGACTCGGCTTTAAAAGCCCGTGGCAGTGGTCGCCCTGAACACAACGACCACTGTCTGCGCGAGCTCAGGTCCTGACCACTCACGGCCCGCGCGCACAGGCTGTGCCATGCACGCAGCGGAGCGCGCGCTGCTGCTGGGCGCGGGGAACTTCTCTGACGCGCTCACTCCTGACCTGACCATGGACAACAGCAGCGGCAGCACCAACGGCTCGGACCCGTTCGCGCGCAACGAAGAGGTGGCCAAGATCGAGATCCTGGTGCTGAGCGTCACGTTCGTGGTGGCTGTGGCCGGGAACGTGAGTGTGCTGCTGGCCATGCGCCACACCAAGAAGAAGATGTCCCGCATGCACCTGTTCATCCGACACCTGAGCCTCGCGGACCTCGTGGTGGCCTTCTTCCAGGTGCTGCCGCAGCTGTGCTGGGAGGTCACGTTCCGTTTCTCGGGTCCGGACGCGCTGTGCCGCATCGTCAAGCACCTGCAGGTCATGGGCATGTTCGCCTCCACGTATATGATGGTCATGATGACCGTGGACCGGTACATCGCCATCTGCCACCCGCTCAAGACGCTGCAGCAGCCCACGCAGCGCGCGTACATCATGATTGTATCCACGTGGGTTTGCAGTCTCGTGCTCAGCACGCCACAGTACTTTATTTTCTCTTTGAGTGAGATCCAGAACGGCTCGGAGGTGTACGACTGCTGGGCGCACTTCATCCAGCCGTGGGGAGCCAAAGCGTACATCACATGGATCACCGTGGGCATCTTCCTCGTGCCCGTGGCCATCCTCATGATCTGCTACGGCTTCATCTGCCACAGCATCTGGAACAACATCAAGTACAAGAAGCGCAAGAGTGCATCTGGAGCCGCGGGGAAGAATGGGCTCATAGGCAAACACTCCGTGAGCAGCGTCACCACGATCTCCAGAGCCAAGCTGCGCACGGTCAAAATGACTTTTGTGATCGTCCTGGCCTATATCATCTGCTGGGCGCCTTTCTTCACCGTACAGATGTGGTCCGTGTGGGACAAGAACTTCCAGTGGGACGGTGAGTTTGGACAATGATTCTTCAAAACATAAACACTCCACTTTTAGTGCGCAATGAGGGAAATCCCGTGCGTAGAGCCAGAGCGCACCACTTTTACGCATGAGTGTTCGGAACAAAACAGGAGAGAGCAGGATAATAATTACAGTGCTTAAAATTACCAAAACAAAATAGATGAAAGAGGCATAATTTGACACTGACTTTTAACTTTTAATGAAGGTCATGAGGGGCGGGTTAGATTATGTTTTCTTATGTCAGAGCGGAGCCGGAGAGATGAAGTTACGAGGCTCCTGTTGCGTTTCTTATGGACTCCTCGTCTGCACAGTTTCTCCCGCTGAGCTGACGTGCCCCACACGCACGAGCCTGACCTCCACTTTACCATCAATCACCTACACCTTATTTATCTTACTCTGTCCCAAGCTGCAGTCACTTTGATTGATGTTCAGTCACAAAAAAACATTATATACATGTATATTTTCAACATGTGGTGTAGGTACCCGGGGCTCTTGTATTTCTATAGAACTCTCCAAGAACTGTGGATTTTACAAGTCTGCACCAACCCTCTGTCCTCCTGCTGTTAACGTAACAGTCTGTAGTGCAAAGTTGTTCTTTTTTATTATTTCTGGCTGTGCTTTGGTTCTGTACAAGACGCCGTCACTGGAAGAGTTTGAGTTTTTTTGGGGTGATTTACAGTTATGTCCTGAAAGAGATAGAAGTATTAGGTCTCGCAAAGTCCTGGTTTAGACATACCATATTCTTGCATTGACTGGCAGGTTGTGCCTATGGACTGAGCTCAGTTCAGAGTTATTCTTGTGAAGTTAAAGGTGTACAGTCCAAATGTTCTGGAGGAGGGTTCACCACCTGCTCGTCTCCACGGAGGTCTTATTGCGTTGGTTAGAATGTTTTACAGTTTGGCATAAAACCTGTTTATCTCTATAGAGACAAGAAGAAAGCACAGCTAAGCCATGTTACAAGCGAGATCTGTGGAGAGGTGATCCTTCTCACAATAGGAAAGCAGTATTTTTTGAGCAGTAAAAACAGCCTGACATAAATGAGTCACACAAAATGCCATTCTGAGTGTAGATAATAAAACGATGTTACTCTGATGTGTCCAAGAAACCCGAGCGGCAACGTGCCAGAGTGTAGTGGCTTTTAATCGGACATCTTCAGAATCACTGACATCATATGTACATGCAGTGTTGGGAAGGTGACTTTTAAAATGCATTTCCCTACAGGTTACAGATTACATACCTCAAAATGTAGTTTGTAACATATTCCATTAAATTACTTAAAGTGAGTAATGTAATCTGAATACTTTGGATTACTTGATTTGCAGTAAAGAAGCAAAGACGAGGAAACCATAAAATAAGATGTTCTGTCTGCTAAAAGAAAATGAAAAAGCCCAGACTTTACTTAACCGTATTAAAAATATTATTGATAGAAGAGGAGGAGACACGTCCACACAGCAGGATTTAGTCCTGGTAAATCCTGGTTTAGACCTGGTTTAGTCCTGGTTTAGATCTAGTTTAGACCTGCTTTTAGCATGGTTTTAGCCCTGGTTTAGTCCTGGTTTTAGTCCTCGTTTAGTCCTGTTAAATTCTGGTTTAGACCTGGTTTTAGACCTGGTTTTAGACCTGGTTTAGACCTGGTTTAGACCTGGTTTAGACCTGGTTTTAGACCTGGTTTAGACCTGGTTTTAGACCTGGTTTTAGTCCTGGTTTTAATTCTGGTTTTAGACCTGGTTTAGACCTGGTTTTAGTCCTGGTTTTAGACCTGGTTTAGACCTGGTTTTAGTCCTGGTTTTAGTCCTGGTTTTAGTCCTGGTTTTAGACCTGGTTTAGACCTGGTTTAGTTTCTGGCAATGGAATTACCAAAAAAAGAAAATAAATAAATAAATAAATAAATAAATAAATAGCCCAAAATGTGAAAACAGGAAAATACCGCAGTGTAATCCATTTATTTCAACAAAGTAACTGTAATCCAATTACCACTCATTGAAACAGTAACTGTAACTGAATACAGTTACTCATAATTTGTACTCTGATTACATAACTCCAGTACATGTAATCTGTTACTCCCGACACTGTTTACATGTAACATATGCACATGCACACACTCTCATACACTCCGATCTCCATGGAGACAAGCAGAAGGTGAACCAGCAGGCTATGTGGTCCTAGTTTGGCCCAGTTTAGTCCTGATGTAGACCTGGTTTAGTTCTGGTCAAGGTTTAGTTCCAGATTTAGTCTCATTTCAGACGTGGTGTATGTGCGAGGGCGATTCACTCTGTTGTCTCTGTTGTCTCTGTTACGTGCAGCACTGGAGACTTTTCCTCACTTAAGAGATATATATGTTTGTTTTAAATTGTTGCTATGGGAACGGTGCTAATCTTTCATCCTTGTGAAACCTATGGAAAAACAGCTCAACATAATCACAGCGTATTGGTCTAATGAGTGTTTTCCTGTTCCTTTTCTTCTCACAGATTCGGAGAACACGGCTGTGACCCTGTCCGCGCTGCTGGCCAGCCTCAACAGCTGCTGCAACCCCTGGATCTACATGATCTTCAGCGGGCACCTCCTCCACGACTTTTTGCACTGTTTTTCCTGTTGCCATAGATTCCGCTCAGACCTTAAGAAAGAGGATTCGGACAGCAGCCTCCGAAGGACCACTCTCCTCACCAAAATGACCAACCGCAGCCCCACGGCCAGCTCTGCCAACTGGCGCGAGTTGGATAATTCTCCCAAAATGTCCATTCAAGCAGACTAACGGAGCTCGACAGTCCCTCCCATTTCACAGCCTGCTCTGGTTAGTTGTTAAGTCCAAAAAGCACATTCTTTCTCTTTTTTTTTTTACAGAAAGTCTATGGGAAAATGAACGGGAAATGTATTTTGTGAACCACTTACTGTCGAGCTCCACACAAGCTTATGTTTACAAAGGTACTCATTCATACGCAAAGGGACTTGAGGACATGTAAGATAAAAAAAAAAAAAAAACTGAGCAGATGTCTTAAAAGCTGTTTTTAAAGTGTGTGTCTCATTCCCGACCAGATGGATTGTTATTGTGGGAACTCCAGGAATAGCCAGAATACTTTGATTATGCGAAACTCATTTTCCAGGAACCCCCTCTGCCCGGCTGACGCTTTAGTGCCACCGAACACCACATCCTTTCTGTGTGTTTACAAAGATAAAAGTTTGGTGCGGCCAGAAGGTAGAAGCGCTCACACTCTCTCCAGACCACAGGCGTCTAAAGTAACACAAGAGTCACTCAGAAAAACAGGCCTGAGCTACAGTTTGAAAGTTTATCTGCAGGTAAATAAAGAACTGCGGATTGATTTTGGCTAAAGGTGCAATCTGTAACTTTTATGGTGGAGCGTTACATCATCAGCTCGTCCCCATGGAGATTTTATTGCTGTTATTGCTTCGCTGTAATGGTCCGCGGCATGTCGTTGCGTTTTACAATCTCCACGGAGACGAGCGGACCAACATCGCCAGGCCGGATGACAGGACAGGTCTGTGGAGAGGCAGAGAGAATGCACGATCTTTCAAGGAATTCAAGGAAAGTTTTCATTTCATTTTTGAGTCTGCTTAAGAGAAACACGATGGCCAAATCATGTGATAATTAAAGGTCCTATAGTACACAAAATGGACTCTTGGAACGTTGTTACCTCCTCAAAAACAGACCTGGACTTGAGTTTCGTTACGTTCGCACGCGTTTTAGTCACTTTTATCATTAGTCTGTCCATATCTCCAAAGCTCAAACTGCTCTTTTCCACAGCTACAGCAGCTTTTACCTTTAGTTCAGTAGAGATTCTCAATTCCAGGACTGAATCTGTCCAACAAAAAACACATTAGAGCAGTTACTGTATTACCTCATGACATCACAAGGTGGAACAGAATGTTTTATGTTGTAGAGAAGAACTCAAAAGTGCAGGGTCTGTGTGTTGAACATGTGTGAATGAAACAAAACACAACTCCAGGTCTGTTTGTGATGAAGAAACAATATTAGAACATAGATCAGCTTAATTTGGAACCTTTAAGAATCGCTTTAAGATCAGTGAGTGTGTACACATGCACATCAGTATCCCGGTTATGATCCATATCCCGGTTCTGTCAGTATTCGGGTTACTGTGTTTACATGCGCACTGAGAAACTGGGACACTCATATCCTCATATCCTTTAGCATAAGAAGCTAAGGAGCTACGAGATCTCCCACAATCCACTGCACACATCAAACCAACAGATTCTTCAATAAAATCTTCTGCATAAATAAACTCAACTTTACAACATATAAACCAGAACCACTGTAGAGCCACATCAGCCCGTTTGATCAGATCATTCAGCTCTGATCACATTTGTTTATGTTTTACAGAAACAAAACTTAAAACCGCATCGCTAATTAGCATAAACTGTTAGCGGTGATAAAAACAGCTGCTCCTTGTGCCGCTGATGCGATTCAGCTTCTTTTGGACTAAAAGACATGATTCTGTGGATTATGTGTGTTCTTTTAGTGACAGAAGAGGTGCTGATGATGGTGAGTCTGTTCTGTGTGTGTGTTGTGTAGGAGATAGTTCATGTTTTAACTTTTCATTGATCACACGAGTGCAGGTCGTACGAGTGCAGATTGTACATGTGCAGGTTTAGCGCAGCATTTATGTTGGTCAATTTATTTATGTCGCTACTGTTGTGGTGAAAATACTGGAAAGTGTCTTTTGGACTCATGCGCACTCAACTTTATGTTGCAGTAACCGGGATACTGTGTTTACATGCCACAAGTATCCCGGTTACTATCGGAATAAACCAGCTACACTAAGCGGGTTTCTAATAACCGGGATACTGAAACTCAAGAAACCCGATCATAACCGGGTTATTGATGTGCATGTATACACACTCACTGGTAGAGTCCAAAAATATCTGTACAATGAGTAATGAAAGTCAGCATTTTACCATCTGTACCATTGCGAGACAGGAGCAGTGCCTTGGCAGAGTTCTGTGATCTTGAATGTGCTTTTTTTTAGTCAAGATATTCCACCCTTTTGTTGCAACTTTTTCTTCTTCTTATATTGAAATCCCTAATTTCATATCCTTAATTTGACTTGGGTGCGTATGAAGATCATTTGTTCCATTGCATTTTGAATTTTTTACATACCATGAATTTGTCACTCTGAAAAAAGAGGTTTGAATTATTTTTATTCAGAATTTTACTTGCTGAAATTTTAAGAATCCTTTTTCAGTTTCAGTTCAAAATCAAAATTTCACCTTTTAAATATTCAGTACTAGGGGTGTGCAAAAATATTGAAATATCATTATATCTTGTCGGTTAATGTGTTGATACAGTATCGATATCGTGGGCTGCTGTATCGATATATCTCCAAGAGTATTTTTTGGTGTATTTTGCTCAATTATTTTGTTTCATTGCTACAGTTTTGTTGTTTGTTCAGAGGAAGGAAACTTTTTTATGCAACACATTTGACATTTTTACTGTTTTGATGATTCATTTTGCGCAAGAAGTGAAGCTTAACAAAGACTTTTAGTATCAGAGCCATGATTTAGCCTCTACTTTTTTTTAAACATATCAAATTGATTTCAAATATATCGCATTGAAACGAAAGCTCACTGTATCAAGGTGTGTATCGTATCGGCAGTTTGTTAATGATACTCAGTCCTGTTTATTACATATGATTTTCAAGTCTTCAAAGTCAACAGTGAAAATTCAGAGTGGAAAATTCGCAGTGGAAACATTTCACAACAAAGATCCAAGATGCCAAAGCAGAAGCAATCGTGAGTGAGGAGGACTGTTTCCAATTGGCTGTTCTCATCTGTGGGCGGGGCTTACACTGAAGAAATCAAAGAGATGAGGTTTTGATGAGGCGAATTCTGACCAATCAGATCGTTCCTGTTAGATCAGATCATTTTGGATTGATTCCTTTTGCCTTGGCGTCTTGGATCTTTCTTGCAGATCTTTTTTTTTTTTTTTTCACTGCAAATTTTCCACTCTCAATTTTAACTGTTGAATTTGAAGACTTGAAAATATTTGTGCTGAATATATGGATTTGTTTCATCAGATTTTGAATTTTATACCAATGAATTTCTTATTTTGAATTTTTTAACTCTGAAAAAACATGTTTGAATTATTATTATTTTTTTTTTTAATTATTATATTTTTTATCTGAATTTTAGTTGCTGAAATTGTACGTTTTCATAAGTGTTAAAAAAACAAAAAAAAAACAAACTTAAACTTAAACTTAAATATTCAGCACAAATATTTTCAAGTCCTCAAATACTGAAACATATTCAAAAAGTACACTTTAAATTTCAGCAACAAAAATTCTGACAAAAAAAATAATTAAAACATCTTTAATCAGAGTTAAAAAATTCAAAGTGAGAAATTCAGTGGTATGTAAAATTCTAAATCTAATGGAACAAATGATCTTCCAGATAATTTTTTAAAGGTGTTTTTTTTTTAAATATTGAATTTTAAACACTTAAATTTCAGCAGCAAAAAATCAAAATATAAATAATTCAGAGTGAGAAATTCAACAGTATTTTAAATTCTAAATCAGATTAAACAAATGATCTTCTATAGTTTGGGGCATTCCTCAGAAAAATTGTCTTCTAATTTTCTTTTCAACAAATTTTTTCAAGTTCGGACCAGTCAACATGATGAGTCAGTGCGTGTACGGCTTCAGTGGACTTTGTCTCCAAAAGATGTGCTTGGGTTTGTGGCTGAAGGTGCCATTTTCAGGACTTTTGACCATACGAGACACAATATTTAGACTTGAATTGTTAAATGATACGAGAACAGTCCGGAATTTATCTTCAATCTGCCTCCCGTGGATTAAAGTAGGTTTGGAGAGGAGGACCCCCCCCCCCTGTGCCTCCTCATAACGGCCGGTGCATTCCTCTCCCAACACGTCACTTCCTTAATATTCCACATCCTGGATCATGGGGGGGGTGAGTTTTGGCTTTCATTTAACCACCAGATGAAAACTATTGTGTGGAGTTCGCATTATGCTTTGAAATATCGTCAACTGTCTCACATCCGCCAGTGTAACAGTGTTTGAAGCCATGCCAAAGAAGTTGTTTTGAGCTTTACAGGTGTCACTACACGACTGAAGGAGGTTGAAGTCGTTCAGGTCGTGGTTTACAAGAATACAAGCAGGAATCTGAAATCAAAACTTGAAAGAATTTCCTCTCAAATACATTCTGTTTTGTTTTCGTAGGTGGATGTGGCGTGCTCTTTCACTTTGTACCGCTTCGGGGTTTTGGAGTCTTCCAAAAAAAACAAAAAAAGCGAATTTGCATTGCGATTTTCTAGTGAAGGGCACTCCACCTGCCTGTCTCCACGGTGATGTTATTGCTTTGCCTGGAATGTTCCACTGTATGGCATTACATATAACAATTCTACATTTATTCCATCAAAGGTGTTTTTATGTACCGTATTTTTCGGGCTATAAACTACTAAAAATCCTTTTGTTTACTGAAAAATCGACAGTGCGCCTTATGTATTAATTCTGGTTGTGTTTACTGACCTCGAACTGATTTTATGCGGTACACGGCGCTCAAAAATCTGTCCAAATGTTTTAGTACGACTTTTGTAAACTACGAAGCCGCACCACTTGATGGATTGTTACCGTAGTCCGGATCCTCGTGGAGTAAAAGGCGAAATATAGTTTTGCGTCGACTCACCTTGTCACCGATGTTTTTGATTTATGGATCTGCGTCGAGGTCTATGCGTCGCAAAGTAATCCTCTGCCACAACACTAGGAGCTGATTTAAACCTGGCATTTGTGTTTACCAGGGGTCGAGAACCTTAAATACTCCAAGAGCCGTTTGGATCAACTCCCACAGAAAAGAAAACACCCAGAGCCACAAAACCCTTTTGACTCTAAAATGAGGAGACACTGCAGATCTTTTTTGGATTAAACTAAAGTGTGTTGCAGTTATCAAATCACTGAAATGCTCCAGAGAATATTTGTTCATTCATACATACAGTTTGTGCGTATGATCTACAGACTTATTATCAGTGTTGGGAAGGTGACTTTTAAAATGTATTCCCCTACAGATTACAAATTACATACCCCAAAATGTAGTTTGTAACGTAATCCATTAAATTACTTAAAATGAGTAATGTAATCTGAATACTTTGGATTACTTGATTTGCTGTAGAGAAGCAAAGATGAGGATATCGTAACATAAGATGTTTTATCTGCTAAAAAAACTAAACAAAACAGACTTTACTGAACCGTATTAAAAATATTATTGATAAAAGAGGAGGAGACACGTCCACGCAGCAGGTCTTGTTAAATCCTGTTTTAGTCCTGATTTAGACCTGGTTTAGGTCTAGTTTAGGTCTAGTTTAGACCTGATTTTAGTCCTGGTTTAGACCTGGTCTAGTTTCCGGCAATGAGTTGAATTATTGAAAAAAAACAAAAAACAAAAGGGGGATATAGTCCAAAATGTGAAAACAGGAAAATCCCGCAGTGTAATCCATTTATTTCAACAAAGTAACTGTAATCCAATTACCACTCACTGAAACAGTAACTGTAACTGAATACAGTTACTCATAATTTGTACTCTGATTACGTAACTCTTGTACATGTAATCTGTTACTCCCTGACACTGTTTATTATCTTTGAAAAATTTCACATGAACCATTTCCAATGCACAGAACAGACTCACCATCAGCAGCACATCCTCTGTCACAGAAAGAACACTCATATTTCTCTGAGTCTTGTCCAAAGAGCGAGCTGTTTTTTCAGCGCTTAGAGTTTATGCAAAAGAGCCATGTGGTTTTAAGTTTTGTTTCTGTAAAACGTAAATAAATGTGCACAAAGCTGCGTTAAACACATTATTACTGTAT